AGCGGACCATGATTCAGTGCTGAGAAAGTGAGCCGTCGGCCACAAGGAGACCCGGAGGAGACGTCAGTGCGTGTCACTAAGGGAAGGGAGCCCGGGTGAGAAGGCCAGGTGCTGTATGACGCCACCTTTCTGACATTCGGGAAGAGGCGACGACGGGGACCCCCCAAAAGGCCCGTGGCTTCCATTCTCCGGGCAGCGCATCCACGCCGTGTGGCGCTGCGATGGCAGACACACACTATTAGACGTCTGTCAGAGCCCACGGAACACATGCCCAAGACCAGGAGCGAACCCCCATTAATGTCAACCACGCACTTCGGGTGACAACGATGTAGGGTCAGTGTAGGCTCATCGGTTGAGGGGGGCTGTGTATGGGTGGGTCCAGGGGTGGACAGGACCTGTCCGTACTTTGTGTTCAAATTTGCTGTGAGCCGAAAGTGACTCTAACAATAAAGTCTATTTTTTTAAAGATGTAGTCTTTGTTTTATTCATTTAACATTTTTGTTTCTTAGACTTTGAAATGCCCGATGTAAAGTGATATGTGTTTCCATCGCTCTCCACCTGCTTGCTCTTTCGTCCTCAACCCTACCTCCACAGTCACCCTCGCTGAAACAGCTCGGAAATCCCAGGTACCCTCTCTAGCACACACACCCAAGTGTGCAGCTCTTCCTTTCGCAACGTGCACCTGCGTCACACCACCATGCTGTACACTTGAAGTATCTCACAATTTTATTTGTCCCTTATACCTCGGCAAAGCTAAAAAAAAAAAAAAGCAGCAGCTGATTTGCTAAGATGGGAAAAAAGATAGAGAGAGAAGCCGCTGCTCCTTGTGGTGGTCTGAAGCTGGGAGGACATTCCTGGTGAGGGGAAGCGTGGCCCGGGATTTATCCCACACCAGCCTGAGTGGGCGGGGCTGAGAAGCGAGGGGGCGGGGGATGCTGGAGTGGGCGGGGCTGAGAAGGGAGAGGGCGGGACTCCGAGACAGTGGAGACGCACTGTGGGCACAGAGGCTTCCTTTAAGAAGCTGAGCTACGAACGACAGAGATTTAGGATATTTTGAGCAGAAAAGGAATGACTTACTATAGCGTAATATTCTTTAACGTGTAGAAGCAATAAACAAGAATAATAAAATAATCCGTGAGCTGACAGGTTATTTTCTTCCAGGCTCCAGCTCCACCAAACCGACCTTTGTTGAGTTCCGGCCCGGTACCATCCACGGAGCACCCAGCACTCGGGATGCGCCGCTGAAAGAGATGCAGCCCCCACTACCAAGGACTTAGAAACCGGTGCAAAGTCCCGGCACCGTGGCCAACCACAGCCTGAGTGGGGCAGGGGGCGCTGGAGCCCATAGCCAGGAGGACCTGGGAGAGAGGATGGCGGGGGGACCAGGACCCAGGGGCGCAGAGGAGGACAGGACCCGGGGGGTCCGCCAAAGAATGGGGAAGGGCGGCAGACGGCATCGTGCTTGGAGGGCTGGGCACTCATGAGTGCAGCGTGTTCCTGAGCCAGTCAGGGTGACTGGGGGGTGGTCTGGGCTCTGGCTGTCACAGAGACCCGAGCCCCCGCAGGTCCCTGTCCTGCAGATGCACAGGAAAGACACAGAACCCTCCACTCCCTACGCTTTAGGTTCCCGCTGCACTTTTCAGGGGCCTCCCGAACCGGCCAGTGTCTGGTGACAGCCCTGTGCTCCTGCCAGAGGCACGTGAGGAATGTCAGGCAGGGCCTCTGTGTGGTTGGGAGCCTGCGGTTCTGCTTCAGGCCGCAGTCCTCACTGCTTGCCCTGCCCAGGGTCGAGCCAGGGCCCTGCCTGCTCAGGGGCGTTCCGGGTTCAGCCCTAAGAAGTTCAGAAAGAAGTCACGGAGGACTGACAAGTGTTGGGAAGCCAGGATCCAATCCACTGCCGGGGAGCGGCCGGGCCTCCTGGGCGGGCGGGCGGGTGGAGCTCAGGGCCTGGGAAAGGTCTCCCCACACCCAGGAGTTTACAAAACAGAAAGACCAGAGCCTGCAGAGCAGGGTGGGAGGCCCACCGGACAGCCAGCCAGCAGGAGGGGAAAAGGAATGTCCTTGGAGTCCACAAGTGGCAGTCACTCTGCCACTGCAGACCCAGCGAAGGCCACGCCCCCGCTCTGCTCTGCACCTGACCTCTCCTCCAGCGCAGCCCCCCCAAACAGCTGTCCCTGGGTGCCTGCCCCAGTGAGGGAGAAAAGCGAAGAAGCGTGGAAAGAGCTAGTTATGCAAAGAAAAGGAAGGGCGAGCATGGTGTTGGCGGGTGGAGGGTGTGTGTGTAGAACTGTGTGACCCGCAGAAGAAAACACATTTTAAACTGAGATACAACTGACGTACAACATTGTGTAGGGTTAAGGCGCACGGCACGGTGGTTTGACAGCTGTCGATGCTGCAAAGTGATCTCCACGACAGGGTTAGCCCATCTCCACTGCTATGTCATCACAACTGTTTGCATGCGACGGGAACTTTTAAGGTCTCTCCCAGCACCTTTCAAATGTGCAATGCAGGGTTGTCAGGTACAGTCACCACGCGGTGATTACACTTCCGGAAAATAGTGTTCAAGGTCAGGTGCTCTGACGGCCAGGGGGTCAGGCGGGTGTGGGAGCCCCCCCCCCACCTCCCCGAGTGCAAGCCTGCAGCGGAGGATGGCCACAGCGGCCGACAGTTTAAACACATGCAGGCTGCCCCGGGCCGCTCGCACTGCACGGGCTCAGGCCGACTTTACGCCCACAGAGGCCTGTGTTGGCACAGGCAAAGGAGGCGCCCTCGGCTTTTAAACTCCAAGCTTTTAAACTCTTGGTGGCACTTGCACCAAGTGCGGGCAGATAATCTGGTGAGAACAAGGCCAGGTTGAAACAGGGATCACGACCAGATATTGTGGAGAGAAGTTCAAAATCGGGAAGGAAAATGGAAACAGCCCAGAGGTCACTGAGGGTGGGGGGTGCTCACTCCCCGGCACCGTGGGCTCCCTCACCTGGCTGTCCCCTGGGGGTGGGTCCCCAGATGTCCTTTGTGGTCCCCTCCCCTCTCACTGGCTTGGCTGTCACTGCTGTCCCCCGGTGACCTCGCGCACACTCAGGACTTTTGTACTGGGCTGGCCAAAAGGTCGGTGTGGTTTTTTCCATTAAAATAAGACACATTTTTCACTTTCACCAGTAACTTTATTGGTTTGGATATTTTGAGTATGTCGGTTATCTCCTGCGTGGTAGAATGTTGAGTGTTTTCAATTAATGTCTTGACAATGAAATCACGGTCATTAATGACCCTCCCAAAGGTGACGGGCACCGGGGGATGCACGGGGCAACCTGGTCAGCCCCGTACCCCCACTAGCCAGAGCTGAACGGAGCGAGTGCCCCCGCTTTGTGCATGCCCCAGCGAGCTGGGGCTTCCTAAGGGCGTGAGCGTGCAGGTGGCTCACAGGCCGGCGCGAAACGAGAAGTTCAGACACCGCCTTGAGCATCCGGCCCTGGGTCAGCGATCTGAGCGACCCCGAACATCCAAATGCGAACAGAACACATTGCTTCTCCTTAAGAATCTCATCCGCGACCTTTGATTTGCTGCGGTTTGCCTTCAAGGTGACACACTGTGCCAGTGATTTTGACCCCTTGGCTATTCCCGCATTCAGATACAGTCCCAGTGTCAGTGAGCTCGTCTGGGAGCTTGGATTTGCAGTTAGATTTGTATTACTCCCAGGGCAAAATATTTTTCAATGAAAAATTCAACCCAAAACATCCAGACAGAACTACAACTGTGGGTGTGACAATCACAGAAACTGTGTGTACTGTGTGGACGTGCAGTTACACGCAGTTCCAGAGCACCTACTGTGTGCCAGCACTGCCTGACTCAGCGCAGCCACGGTGAGGTGTGGTCGCCACCACAGAGGTCTGACCTTTGAAAAGACAGTCAGTCTGTCTGGTTGCTGAGAACGGAACGCGAGAGCTGCCTGTCCAGAGTCCGGGCCAGGCTGGGGGTTCCCCTCTGCCGTCAGCATCCTCGGGAGGCACCTTTCCAAGCCAAACAAAAAGGTGGCACTAAAACCCCCCCCCCAACATAGGTGGTGCTGTTCAACGACTCCCCTGGTCTACACTGGGACCGAGGGCATCATCTGTCCCCCGCAGGCGAGAAACCCCAGAAAACCACGGGGGAGGAAAATCCCCAGGGGTGACCCGCCCAGGAGCCCACCGGCTCCCCAGCCCTGCAGGCTTCTCGCCTTCCTTTGTCTACCAGGCAGGAGCCAGGGGCCCTCTGGTCCCCCCTGCTCCCTCCCCACCCCCTTAGGATTCCGCGTTAGCTCAGCATTTCAAATGTGCATGAGAAAGGCACCGCCAACAAAGCCTAAGCCTCAAACCTCAAACCTGAGACCAGCCCGCTGTCACTGTGTGCGCGAGAGCACGAGGGAGAAGGTGAGTGAGACCGCAGCCCCCGGCTGCTCAGCCGCGCGAGCGTCTGACTCACTGCCCGGCGGTCTCCCAGCTGAGGAGCGCCTGCAGGTCTTCCTTCTGTCCACCTCCCGCTCTTGGTGATGAGGGCGTCTGCATCTCGGCAGAACGTGCACACAGGGAAGGAACCCCACATCACGGGTTCCACTCAGCCCAGCTCCCTCTGCCTCCGTCCCCTGCCTGCCTCCTGTGGTCCGTCCCACTGCGACTGCTCCTGTGGCCTCTGTCTCACCAGCTGCTGCGACGCTCTGAGAGCCCCAGCGTGCACACCTCCAGCCAAATGCTCTACCTCCTCATATCTCTGGAGACAGCTGCCGTAGGGACCACCCCGTTATCACAGCTCTCACTCTCTCTGCTGTCCAGTCTCTTTTCTGAAGCTTCCCACGGAGGTTCGAGCTCCGTGAGGTCAGGTCTCACTGCAGTGTGCGCCGAGAACCTGGGCCCGAGCTTTGCGCAGAGCAGCACGCAGTGGGTGTCTACCGAACCACTGAACTCGTCCCCCTACAGTCATCTCTGTCGGAGACGACAGAAATAAACAGAACGCTCCATCCGGTTTACCTGTAAAGAGGTTCTACAAGGTCCTTCTCCAGAAAATCATGATCGTTCTTGACAGCCAAAATGTTGATGGGAAATTGTGAATCTGGAACAGAGAGAGAGAGAGGGAGACAAAGGGGTCATGTCACGTGACTTGTTTCATCCGACAGGCACAGGTCTCCGGGCCACCCGGTGTTTGTGCACACGCGTGATCTTTACAGCAGCCCCCCACCCCCGCCCAAAGGGGGAGGAGTGTGTCGGTGCTATTTAAGATGGCAAGCAGTTTTATTTTTATCACAATAAACGCTTTTCAGGGCGCACAGGAAGAATGAAATATGAGACTAACCGTGGCCTTGGATAGGACGAAGTACTAAACGCCTGCATTTTTACAGCTCCTAATTCCCAGACAGTTGCTGGCCCGCAGGAACGCTTTTCCACCTTGTCTGTCTCTCCACCTAAGGCTTCTCGGCGCTGTTCTGACCAGTTTGTGAAACATTTCATTTGGCAGATGTTTTTTGTGGGGTTTTGTTTTTCTTTCTGTCCTTCAGAAAAAACAAATGTCCCCAAATCTCAACGGCCTCCACTTTTTCTTTTGTAGCAAAATCTTGGCTCTCTTTAGAGTATAAAGAAAATGCTCAAATAACTGATTTTATCCAAAGAGAAAAAGAAATGTCATCATCGTGACTTTGTCCCACCGTCTGTTTATGCTGGCACTGGAGGTCACGGGCAAGCTCAGGACGCCTGTCACTGGGAGGTGAGGACTGGGAGGTGGCTGGAGCACAGGCCACGGCCACCTCTCACGGACAACGCCAGTGCGTCGCCATTGCCCTGCCGTCCTTTCCCGCTCCCACGTTACACTTCGCTCTGCTCGCACCCCGCCAGTCGTACTCCATCCAAGGGTGTCTGAGTGCTCGTGTGAGCTGGGGACAGAAACACGTCCTCCTCTGGTGACAGGAGCGGTGTGAGTGAATTCTGGGTGGTGCCGGGATGAAGACTGCCTCGCGCTGCTAGGCAGGGACCCTGTGTGGGGGTGAGGGCCAGAGATGCCCCGGCCAGTCCCTGGCTCCCGCCCCGGCTTCTGCCCCGGCTCCTGCCCTGGCTCTGGGCGCACAGCGCTGACCCTCTCCTGGGCCGGCTTCTTCACGGTGAAATGGGGCAATGGTGACTGCAATCCCTACCGTGCTGTGGGTGTTCATGGACAGTGTGACCAGAGCCTGGCCCGCAGCGAGCCCTACATGCTGTCTGCTATTACCCGCGTTACATTTATTCCATGAATATGGTTTAAACTCAACCTCACGGGCACCTCGCCCTCACGAAGCATCTTTTACTTCTTAGCCACTTAGGGACCTTTCACGTCGAAATCCCATAGTGTTTTGGGTTTACAAAGAGAATGCACATCATAGTAGAAAATATACTGCAGCAAGAGCTCAAGAAACCGTATTTTTAATTTTGACTCTTCTACCTTTTAACCTTGGAGAAGTCTCTTAGCCTTTCTGGGCTTCTTGCTTTCATAATCAGAGCTGGGAGTGGCGGGGGAGGGGCGGGGCGTGAGGGTTGCTTAGACCCAAGTGATGAGGCCCTTTCTTGCCTAAAAGGCTACAATTCTATGAAAACTTTTATCAGAGGTTCTAGACTTCAAAGCACACGCAGAGATATGCTGTCCTTTATCTTCACAGAATTTAGGCAAGAGAAGCAGAATACGTGGTTTTTGTTTTGGTTTGCTTTTTAAACTCGGAAACAGAGCTTCTAGGTGAGTGAATGAGATTCACCATGAGTTCAGATTAATTTTGTCGATTTTTTCTACCCTACATAAATATTTTGCCACCCGGAAGAGAAGTTGCTGTCTCCAGCAGCCTGCAATGAACTGTTGAATGAACACGTTCAGAAATCAGTGCTGCTCTGATCATTCTGAGTGCACCATCGGTGTACCGCTGGGACCCCGACCACGGACTACCCGAGAAGTCGTTAGAGGCCTTGGTTCTAATAAAGGGATGAGTAAGATATAGGGAGTAATTTTATTAACTGTCGGTGAAAACATCAACGGCAGGAAGGGTTACACTGGCGATGAAAGCACCTCACTTACCCCCCACCACATCGGACCAGAACTGTATCTTAAACACGGTCATGTACAGTAAGCAGCACTGAAGATGTCTCGAGATGATGGCTAGTTTTGTTATTTGTAGGGAATTTATCAATACCTAGTTTATCGTACTTGCAAGAAAATTGAAAGTGGTGAAGAAGATGAAGAGGAAGAGGAAGAGGAAAAAGAAAAAGAAGGAAGAGGAAGAGGAGGGGGAGGGGGAGGGGGGGGAGGGGGAGAGGGGGGGAGGGGGAGGAGGAAGTTAGTGCAGGGGGCTGCCGATGGCAGAACGCTGATGGGAGGGGCAGAGTCCGGGTTGGTGGCCAGGAGCTGAGACCAGGGAGGGCAGAGCTTGGCCAGGGCTCATTTCTGAATGGGCACCAGGGTAGGGAGAGAAGGGGAAGGAAGGGGAGGGGAGGGGAGGGGAGGGGGAGATGAGGGGGAGGGGAGGGGAGATGAGGGGGAGGGGAGGGGAAGAAGGAAAAAGGAGGAGCCTGGTCCTCGCAAAGCCGAGGGAAGGAGACGGAATTACATAAAAAGAAAGGTAAGAGAAGACTTGGGCACCAGAGCACCGCGCAGCGTCAGCGCGCTCTGGTGCCCGCCCACTCTCGCGGTGAAAGGGGAGCGAGGCCCACCTACCCTCGTACAGCTGGGCGTACTGCGGGAACCCGGCGGCCCGGAGCCAGTCGCATGCTTCCTTGGCCTCGATTTCTGGAAAACACAAGAGGGGGAGGGTGAGACCCGAGGCCACGCTGTTCCGGGCAGGTGCAGCGGATGCGTCTCCTGGAAACGGGCGTCAAGCGAGCGCACGTCGCCCGGGTTCCCGGTGCGCGTCTAGGAAGACGGTCCGCACTGTCGGTCCCTACACACGCGGATAACGACGAAACCACAGATTGTAGACCGCAGAGGCGGAGCGTCGGGCGGGGAAAAGCGTCTCTATTGACACACCAGGGAGCCGGGGAGCAGGGAGGGAGAAACCGTTCCCCGGGGTCCTTTTCTTAAAACAGTTGTGTTGACCTTCCAAGATGAGGCTAAGAATATTTAGGAACATTCTTTTACTCTCTTACTCTTGGGATAGTGAAAGAAAGAATACAACTGGGTCCCCTGGGAACATGCATTTCCTGAAGAAGAAAGGTATTACAGAAATCCAATGTATTATTATTTCTTTAACCTTCAAAAGGCTTACGATTCCCAACACCTTCCAACAAGACGTCCCTTCACGGGAGCATCAGAACGGCCTCTCCCTGCAGAGAAACTGCCTATCCAGCACCGAGACACGGGTTTGGGGGGCTGCTAGGACCTCTGGGGGCCAAACCCAGGAGGCTGGTGAGTCCCCTTGGGGACCATTTTCGCTGGGGACCTTCCCCCAGCACACGGGACCACCAGGAGATGAGGAGGGCCGCACGGTATTGACCTTGTGAGTCCTGGATCATGTCCCAGCCACCACGTTACATAGACGCAAATGCAAGGGAAATGAAGTTCGTCTGTCCCGAGTTCGAGTTCTCCCAGCGAGATGAAACGGCTTATCAGGACAGACCCCTCCTCTGCTGCTAGTCAGGAGCCTGTGGCCGGGGCCTGTGATGGCGTTCACTCTGTCGCTCCTTTGGCCCCACAGCCAAAGCCAAAGTGTGCAGGGGCTGGGGGCAGGGCACTGCCACGGCCGGCCATCAGCCGTGGGGCCGAGCCCGAGTGTCCGGGGGAAAGCTCGTTGTCCACACGGCGTCATGTGTCATGTGACAGAGGTGACTGCCGCGTGCTAGAAAATGAGCCGACGGCCAGACCCGGCCCGGGCCCCGCAGGGAAGAGCAGACACCTGCGTTCCCAGCCCACGGACCTGGCTGGGCGTGACCGAGGTCTGCCAGTCAACGCAGGGAAACGCGGCCTGTCGGGGGCTTCTGTCCTAGAATGCCTACTGTGTCGGGCACCCCCAAGCCACTGTCACTGCCGCGGTGGACAGGTGCGCAAAGGTGCGCTCTCCCTGCCGCACGCAGACGCCGCGCTGAGTCACTGCAGAACATTCCGAACACTTTGCCGGTCGAGACGTTTGAGCTCCCAATCTGCTCTTCAGTTCCCTACAACACAGTGGTTCAACACAGTGGTTCCTAACGAAGAAACATCTCATTTCTCGACTTGCTCTACGTAGTGACGGGTCGGCGGGTCTCAGAGGAGCACCGCATTCTGTGTTTTCTATGAGAGCCACACGGAGGGTGTGCCTTTTCCTGTCCTAGGGTTGCTTCTGCTGCCATGGATGTGCGGCGTGAGGCCGGAGCGGCCCAGAGACACAGATCGCAGAGGAACAGAGGGCGGGGACCCGGGAGGCAGGGCTCCGTAACACAGCGACTTGGAGGGGATGGACAGTGAGTGTAGGAAACAACATGGACTCCACCAGCCCAGGAAAGGGGTGGGGGCGGGTGTGGCCCAGACACCCGGGAAGGAAGGACAGGGCATGAGCTGGGGGAGGGGCGGGCAGCAGGGGTCCTTGCAGGAAAACATCTCTTGGAACTGAAGGCTCCGGCGGGGCCGCGGAACAGGGCGCAGGCTGGCCTGGGAGATGTCACGGAGAGGCCCTCGAACTCCCTTTATTCCATTTTATTTTGTAAGAGCAACACAGACCCTAAACTGAAATCCTGTGCGTATGTACACATGAATAATCAAATCTCAGCCAGAACCCAGCTAATTCACGTCCTCAAACAAGCTGTTAGTTTGAATGCATTAGGCATTCTGCTTTTCAGCCTCAGAGTCAGCGGACAACAAAAACTGCAATTAGTGAAAAATAAATGAAAAGGAGCCCCACCCCCGCCAGGGCTCCTGGCCATCACCCCCCGCCCCCGACTCCCTGCTGCGCGGCTCCCTATTCTACTCCGGTACTGTCCCTGAGCCCCATCCCATCCCCCGCTCTCGCTGTAGGCCAAACACCTGGATATCTCAACCTGAGGGCAACAGGAACTCTCGTTTGCCACCCAGGGACAAAGCAAACAACCCTAACAACCTGGCATCACGAACCCCGACCAAATTCGACTTCGCCTACCGAGTTGAGGTGGAGAAGAATGAAAGCCTTCCAAGTGTCCCGAGCCCACACAGCCCCTGCTAGAACCTATCAGCCGGATGCCCAAGTTCCCCCCAGGGCACGCGACCCTTGCAGCGGCCGAAAGGACTGGAAAAGAAATCCCTGTTGCCAGTGCTGTCATTCCACAAGTAGTGGCCCGGGAAGAGCTGGGTGACATTGAGGAGGGTATGAAAGTCTCTATCCGAGTGTGCGCCTGCTACCCGGTGTGATGTGACGGGACAGCCTGCAGGGCCGTCACAACCCCTCCCCCGCAGTTCTGTCTGTTCCCACGTGCACCCCGGCCTGCCTCTGCAGCAGCCCCAGGGCTCAGGGACCAGCACGAACCCGCTGCCCGTCTCCCGCGGCGACCGCGGTACGGGGTGGGACCAGAGGGCGTCCCAGGACAGACCTCTGCAGAGGTCGCTGAGTGCATTCCTGCAGAAAACTCAACCTATTTGGTTTACAACCATGATTGAATTTCAGTAAAACTGTTGTAACTATTATACGTAAAAACCACCTCTGTTCCACTCCAGCGGGTGTCTATTTTTGCTTGCCCAACATCCTCCCCACTTCTTCAGATAACAGAGGTCTCGACGTTAAGAACCTCTCTCATGTGGTTTGGGGGGGCTGGCACCCCCTTTGCCCTGGCCATGGTCCGTGGCCATCACCGCCACCCCCGCGGGGCTCATGCGCTCCTGAAGGGCACCCCACTCCCCTTGGTCTAAAGGGCCACAGAGCGCCGGCATCTTAAATCAACAGCTCCCTGGGGGCTGACATCCAACGGCTGGAGAGGTTGGATGTCACGTTTTTTCAGTCGGTTGCTTGATCTTTTACCCAAACCAAAACACCCTCTTCAGCCAGTAAATCCAGAAGACGGTTTAGTGCTTGGCACCCTCTTCTGCCGTGTCTCTGATGCTACCCAAGGGAGAGGTACTTGCTCTGCCTCCGGGGCACGTGCTTAGAACACAGTGTGACCCCTATCTGGAGACACGGACACAGTGGGGGGAGGTGGGGGGGGGCAGGCTGTCTCACTGGCTGCCAGCAGGGGGCGCATCTGCGGAATGAGAATGGAGTCACCCAGGAATCAGCCAGGGCCTGCCCGACGGTCTTTGAAAGTACTATCATGTTCCTCAACCACACACGCTCGGGGCTAAACCCCTAAAATGTCCAGAGAGGCACACAGAGAGAAAAAAGTCGGCTCCTGTGCCACTACAGACACCTACTATTATCGAAATGGTGATACGGTAACATCTTTGTTACCGACGAATTTTTTTCACATACTAATACATTGTGAATATTTCCCCGTGTAATAATACTGTTGGCAAACAAGGGCCCTGTACTCTGTGTTGAGATTGATGCCCATTTTTTAAACACTTGATTTTTGACTGCGGCCAGTGGCATTTCACCCCTGGGAGGTGATGCCTTCCAAGCAAGAGAAGACCGTCCAGGCAGCCACCCCAACGAAGACGGACCGTGGGGAAGGCTGGGGACCGGTGTGACTTAAACGAGATGGATATGCTGTTTCTTGAAAGGACGGTCCCCTGGTGGGGTCCGGCGGCAGGTGGGGGGACCGGGCTCAGCGAGGTGAGGCGTTAGGTGGAGCTCAGCAGGTAGGCTGCTGGGGTTGCTGGCTCGGCTGATGTTTCAGGCTCCTGGACTCGTTAACGTGGTGTTTCTAGAACCTTCCGGAACAGTGCGTTCTCCCAGCCGAGCACTCTGAGTACATTCTGGTTTGCGTGCATCTCAGCCTAGCCAGTACTCTCCTTCTCAGAGCTAACCCAAGGGAACACTCCTCCTTCTGAATGACCAGAAGTTTACATTTGGGCCCCCAGGAAACCTGATCATCATCAGAAAACCAGCCGGCAAGAAGGGACCCGGTCTCCCGTGGGTCGTTTATAAAATGACTCTATGCAGGTGTGTATATATTTATGTTGTCCCTACAAACCCGGAGTTTCCGCGGACATGCTGGCTCTGAGTGAAGCAGGTCTTCTTTCTCGAACGCTCACTACGGGGACCCGAGAGGCATGGGGGGAAGAAACACACCGCGCATCCCCGGAGATCCAGACAAGCAGGCTGGAGGACGGTGTTCTGTTTCTTCACGTGAACTGGCTGAGGGGGCGGGCACCCTGTTTCTGGAAGACAGTGGGTGACTCCGCCACCACGAGACGTCGGCCGTGGGTGCAGTCGCCGCTCTCAGAGCACATCCCGCTTCCTCAGCCTCCCTGCAGCCGGCGTGGGTGGCTTCTGGGGCTGAGGTCACTTCCTTGGTCACGGTACGACTCAGGGCCAAGGATACCTGTGTGTTTAGGTGGAATTTCTCCACTGAAGCCCCAGGTATCGGAGGTGTGTAGTCACTGGGCTGCACACAGGCCAGCTCTGTTACAATCGATGCCAGGGTGCCCGCCCTGTCTGCGTGTGGATGTGAACGATGGACGTGAGGTAGACTCCAGCCCACCTCCCGAGGGGGGGAGGGCTTTATGACCGTGATCACAAGTGCAGGGCGCGGCGGCAGGCTCCCCCCTTTGCACTCTCCGAATGACACAGAAGGTTTATTGCTCTGTAAGAAGGTCTGAACAAGTCTTCGATGTATACCAAATATACACATATTTTTTCTAAGGCGCATAACGTTTTCCTTCCATGACATTTTAAGTTACTAGTAGGAGTC